GTGCACTCGGCTGAATGACTTAGCTAATAAGAGTTTACCTTCAACAACAACCTGATTGGGTAAACAGTGAACCATGTAATAGCATTTCAATTAAATTGAAGGACATGGGATAACGGCAACTCCAGGTCATAAGAGTACGTTTTCTCTTGCATCAGACGTACGGCTTGCTCCTTATATCGACGGGAACGTTCAAATGACTGGTACCACCCTATGTGGACCAAAACGTCTCAAGAATCAAAACGTTCACTGAATTACCATCTGACTGAAAATGTGCTTACACTTATTTGACGGTGACGAAACTTTATAACCTGTTCCATGGACAGTTGCATCTAGGAGTGCAATAACAGTGAAGTTGAAATATACAGCAAATCAACTTTTAGTGCGCAGGGCCTCCTGTTTGCTAATTTGGTTCTCGAGAGACTCACCTGGAACCCAGCTAAATCTCTCGTTTGTGGTGTGATGTTTCCAGACAAATGAATGTTCTGCACCAGGCCGCCTCACGTTTCAGTTTGCAAATGAGTGTATTTCGCTAAGTTCGTGCGATTTGGTTTCAAGTAGAACATAAGGTTGACCGAAACTCGGGCACTGCGCCTACCTGATGAGCCACAAGATGGGCGAAACCGGTCGTGGGTTGTCGACGAAGGGCTATCAACGTTCTTCATCCTGAAGCGGCTCTGGTTCCGTCTGGTGCGAGTATTCTAGTTAGTCCAAAAAATTTAGGCTACATACTGGTTTATCATTCACCCCAGGATAGAGTAGGTCAACGCTAATTTTTGATATTTACTATGCCCATCAGACGGGCAAAAACAGCTTTCCTTGGTGATCGCGTAACGTTTTGTGTAAGTCGATTAACGCGGTGCTCAACAAGACTGTTGGAAAACTGAAAAATTGTTTAACCAAAATAAATAATGGAATCGGTGACTAAACAAAGGCTTGAACTCCAGTATTATGGAACGCGGATGAAGCGTATTACCAGGAATGCTCGATATCCAGTGGTCTGCTGAAGTACGAATCGTCCGACATGCACCGGTGGCATTTTAGGCGTGTTCAACTTCCACTATTGAAGTAAGCACAAAGCTTCATATTCACACTGCAAAAGTCCGGAATCCCAACTCCAGCAAGGTCAAGAAAACGACCCTCTGGTTTGCTCTAGCAGTGCAGTTTTTCCCATTTCTCGGCGGAATATCTGGAGTAACACGACCACGAAAATCCACCGATATAGTCTATCATCCACACAAGTTATGAACAGGTTTCATTTTGAAATACATATTTTTGCACCCGACAAAGCCCGCTCACAACGATTCGAATTTCGAGTTGAAATACTGCTCTAAGCGTTCAAATTATGAACTCATCTGCATAATAATTGAGTTTTGAGCTGAATTTCTCGTTTGTGATTTTCTTTCTAACTGAATGTGCTGCACCACGTCGCCTGTATCAGTCGGTACGATAGGTGAGACATCTCAACGCACTGTGTGGACGTAATACACTAATCCTAAGGTTGCTAAAAACTTTTCGACCTTCTCGTCTAAACCAAACTAATATAAGGATGAGTGTAGTAGTGAAGTTTCGGGCACTTGGGGTTCATCTGGAAGAAAAGGTCCCCGTAAACTGAGGAACTGCGCATACCTGATGAGCTTCAAGAGGGTGGAAACCGATCATAGCCTATCAACAAGTTTGCAACTACCTTTTGAGTAGTGCATTGCTCTAAACTTTGTTTTGACAACAGTAATCAATTTCAGTGTACGGTGCGGTCATGAGGCATTTGAATATTGCTGTCTTGGCATGTAATAAGCTTAAACTCGAACGGCGCAGCAAACCTACAGGAGATAGATCCTCCACTTCGAAACCATTCCAGACTCTGAACGCCACAAGAGGCACATCAGTCCAAATGGAATTCACCAATTTGGGGATGAATCATACTACTGAACAAAAATAAATACCACTCAACCTGAACTCATCTGTAAGAAGCTCTAAACACTTGCTTTCCACTGATATTCAACAAAGCCCCCTGATGTGGTATAACCTGTTTTTCTGACTATTCGCAGTTTATCTAGTATCATTACCTCTTGGACACCATACAAACACCAAGTCGATGGGAAAAACTAGTTTTCTGATTGATTCTCAAACGTTTCTTTCTGTCTTCTTAATGAAATATGAACCAAGTCACTGAGAAGCTTTCAATGCATTTTATTACATGTAATGTCTAATGCATCCGTGGCGTCCTCCTCAATGGCTCCGAGTAGTTTGTCCCTTTTCAACATGAATACTACTGCCTTCTTGCATTTCTATTTTGTCTAACTATTAGTGCATGTGAATGTTCAGATCTTATCATGGAATAACCATTGGCAATAGTTGGAGCCTTGCTTATAACACGGAATCAAAATATTTGCTCACGTAACACACCATACGAATATTTTCCTTACAGTGGAAAGACATGCTCTGCGGATGACATTCTACTGGCGATGTATGTCTAGCTTGTGGGCCCATTATTGCAATACACCGTAGAATAGAGAGAGGGAGTGGTGCACAGGGTAGCAAACAGTGACTGATGAGTGATGAATATTATTGCCAAAAATATATCTCTTACAACATGGGTGTGCCAAGTATGAGAGCGAATTTCTTTAAGTAAGTTCGAAGGAAATGCTGTATTAGTACCGCAAGAAACGAATTCCGTTCCACAAGAATCGGAAGCAACGAATCCGCACCAAAGAAACCAACACTCAGAGAAAGTAAAAATCGGTTGTTCCAGGAAACGTCCCTCAAGGTCTATCCATCTGTTACCACTGCGCAAATGAGATTCATAGAATTCTTAACATTCTGTATGGCAGTAGCCTTTTACCCGATCAGTGTTTTCCAGTTTCTGCGTAATCAACTCGACAGATGCGGTGGAATGCTCATTAATTTTGTGAAAAGTTAAAGGCAGATTGTCATTACTAAGAATGACAGGCTATGAGGCTATTTTACTTCAGCTCACTTAAGGCGGTCCCGTTTTCTTATTGTACTATTACACAAATGTATTAACACCAAATCTTGGGTGCGAAATGTCTAGTGCTACCATGGATACTGAGGATCCATCTAAATAACTAAGCACTTGGACCACAGAAAGTTGCGCTCTGCTTGAGGTTGAGTCATTTGCGGAACTTCTTCAGTGATCAGATGTATAAGCATAAAGTACTAAGACTGCCAGTACTGCACCCTTCAGTTGTTCCCCTAGTCATATTACATTACTAGTCACCCTAAAACTTCATTGTTAGTCATCTTGCCCACTTGTTCTGAAGTGATTTAACCATTACCAATACGAAATCTTCCTAGATCGAAGTGCTCAGACCAAGACACTCTTTGTGATGAGAAATCGCCAAGTGGCAATAGCCTTAAGGGCTTTCAATTGGAGGTGGTGAACGCTCTTTGGGGGGTCTCAAAAGGTCCAACATCAGTATACTACTTCAAGAAAAACCTCACATGCAGTGAGGGAAATTCCTTTGAAGTATATCTAGAAACAAGTTAGTAAATTTTACTGAACGTGGCTGTTGATATAACTCAAATAATTATTTCTCAGCACATACGTTTCCAAATCCACTTCGAAACGAACTGTTGAACAACTCTGATGGCCAGAATAACCTGTTTGGTCTCACGTAGCTACTTATAGTCTACTGCTTGTTTTAACTTCGCGTAGTAAAACAAAATACCATGGGGATGTTTCTGTTCGTATTTCACTTTGTCTTAATCTATCAGCTAGTGTCGCATTACCATGCAACATTCAACGATGGTAGTCTCCAATGAAAACCAGTTGCTGTCATCGAGTTAGCCAATTTCAAATTCACTTTTTCGATAGTTTTAAGGCAAGTTTCATCCACCTCTGCAGCATCGTGGGCCGCCAATCGACACCAAATCGGATTCGCTGGGGCTGTTGAGAAAGCGCAGTTCAGGATGAGGTAGTTTGGATATGTGGTATGGCATCTATGGGAGAAAATGCTGTCTTCCATTCGAAATCCTCATTGATGAGAGAAAGGACGTAGCATGGTAAAATTAATGAAAGCTGTTAGTCGTACTTGCTGCCCTGGGATGTTTGGAACCTTGTGATTCCGATCACGTGATTCTACCCAATCGGGTTTGGAAGTCATGGATGACGTATCTTGCAACCATTTTCAGATACAAACACGCTCTCACGTCTAAGATGCAATGTCAAGCTAAAATTTTTTCTGCCTTTGGGATTTGGGTTTCTCTTGAGTGAGATTTGCGAAAGATCTCCCAGTCAGTTCCGCTGCCTGAGACTGATTCTCTCATGTTTAAAGATGCGGGCATCTTGTTTTCTCTCTTTTCTTTTACAGACAAGAGGTTTTCCCTCCTCACTTTGTCTACTAGCTATTTCCCTCATTTTTGCACTGCCATCCTGGAGATAACTTCGTTCAATACTAGCTTCAATCAAAGATGACGGGGTGGGCTTGATATGATGAGACAGCGGTGTTTGCCATGGAACCAGGCTGACTCTGATGTCACTTTATTCACTGGTACGCCAAAGATTGTTTACCAAAATCATTAAGCGCCACGATGGTAAACTGTAAGTTGGCTTCTACTTTGTGTGTGGAAACAGTGATATGGGGAATTACTGTATCCAGTTAACATGACCAACTTGGTTTCGATTGAAGTTGTTCAGTAGTTCACCTTCACATGTAATTCATTCGAAACGAGTCTGTTTCCATAAGTTTTTCGACAGCCAAGAAGTACCCAGTTCCTCACTCTAAACAGCCCTCCGTTTCCGAAAAATTTCACTAGGACGAGGCGCTGATAATTGACGAAGCATTTATAAAATTCCAGCCCGTTTCCTACTCCCTGGCTGCTAGAGCGATAGAAAATTTTTGCATTTCATTGCTTTCTTCATTTTTTCTTTGCACATAATAATCGTGAACTACTTCCAGAAAAAATCTAACACCCTCCCCCCTCCAAAAAAGGGACATAGGTCCGAACTCAGACAATAACGCAGCCTCCAAAGCTGAACTCACCTGTATACGGCAGATTGTGTGAACGTTACACAGAATGAAAGTGGCTGACTAGTATCGATCCGATGACGGCGAGGTATGTTGCATGGACTATATCCCGAATTCGTGCACGATTTGCAGTAGAATGTCTGTCAATTTTATGGGTCTGATGCAGTTTACTGCCGCATTAAATGGTGGATGATATGGTATGGCCACTAACGGTTATGTTCCAGCACAGGCTATGGAATATGTTCCGTGGGTCTCGATGGACGAAGCAAATAGTAGGTGACGATACTTGAAATCAGGCCTATTGCGTGTTTACATAAACCATGCCTTTGAATGGTTGAGAGAGACATGCACGTCGGCTGCGCCCAATAGGCGCACTGTTCGAACATCGCTAGTTGGGAACAGGCACGCATACATGCATTCACGTGCATCACGGCAGCGCATTACTAGTTTGGGCGAACACAGACACGTCGCGTCATTTACCCAAGCGTGAACGAACGAGTTGAATATGGCAACAAAACGCGTTGTAGTCACAACCACCACATGCAATACCTACACACACACACACACCCCTAATTCCGGAACATCAGATGGTATCGAACTGGTCAAATCACCAACATTAATCGTCATGGTAAGGCTAATCTCCGATGCCCTGCAACACGTGCAAACGTAGGGGATCCCATCTAAGCCTATAAATGTGCCAGCCGGAAGTAAATTATGTTCAGGACATTCATTATCAACAATACGAGACTCCGCATTCTGAAACAAGTCTTGCTTTACGAAGTCATGAGAAATACGTAAGCAAAAACGAAAGAGATATGTGTTCCCAGAGCTCCACGGCTTAACTGAATGATGCTGTGAAACGATCAATATCAGGCCAATGGAAGTGGAATTTAGGGTCAGAGCCAGACCGCCAGTTGAAGCAGTGAATTTAATTGAGTGAGATCGGTGTGCCGATGTGTTGTCTCACAAAATTAGAAGCACAATCAGCGAGCATTTCCGACTATTTTGACATTTGCAAATCTATTCTAACACCTCTTGGCGAGACACGTATTTTCTTCGCTTAACTTCCAGCCAGTAAGCGGAACCGATCTATAACTGAACGTTCAGAAACAATGCTCAAATGTTCAAAACAGCATCAAGGAAATCCGTCACCAGTAAGAATTTTACGAGGACCCAAATAAGTCCGAACCCGCAGTCTTACGGATTGGAGTATTCCCGATCAAGCAATGCACGCCTCCGTTAAAAGCTTCGCGAAAGTGGGCTTATGTTATCTGCTGAGTTTTGCCGTTTCTGATTAACCGGTATAGGTTTTGTGAGTATTATTAGGCTCGTGAAAGCTTAAATGTAAAATCTGTTTGATGGACAGGTGGCCGCGGTTAAAAAATCACAACCACACAGATGTTTCTTCAAACAGCTCAGAATTTACGAAGATATAAACAGGGGGCAAATGAATACTGACGATTGGCAGTTCATTCCCAGGGAATTCTATTACACAAGTAAATAAAAAAGTAAAATAAGGATAAAAAGCAAAAAAGTCAAAGCTTATCACAATGGACCGAAAATGTCCCAAACTCGGTCTGTCCTCGAAATAGCTTCTACACAAACAAAGGGACGATGGCGGCTTCTGCGGACGAAGACCTGCGGCGTAGACAATTTAGTTTTCACTCGTCACTAGCAACGCATTGAATTGCCAAAATGTAGCAAGTGGGGCCTGTATTTGCACAAATAGATAAAAGAAATACTAAGACCTCTGTTATTGTCGAAAAATGAAGCGGTCTCAGATTCGTTTTCCGATTAGTGAATCGAAAAATCCAGAATTAAAGTTACTAGGCGAGTTCGGCAGACAAAAGCCCCTCACCTTCTTCCCACTCTTAATTCTGGGGGCAATTGATTAGAGAGATTTGAAACGTTTGTAGCACACTCGCGTTCGCTAGTGTTTAGTCCATTGTATTCGGTGATAAATGATTGATTGATTTGTGGCTGCATGATATCGACCACATCATAAATAAAACCATGCAAAGTCGTATAAAAAAGGACGCAAGATAAGAAATAAACGTGAAAAAATGGTCAGCAGAGGGTGAATGTGTTTAGACATTCAACAATGGCCATGGCGGGAGATAAAGACACTATGCTTCTGGCCTCACACTCCCCTGATTGACTGTGTTTTCAAGAATACGTGAAATAATCCCTAATATTTCCTTCATTCACTAATAAAAATACTCACAAGCGGGAGGTTATAACGTCATTTGGTCATTCCGCTTGCATCCATCCCTTCATTGTATACACAAGCATGTTATAATGTTGTCAACGAGGTAGTTCGCCCATGTACATTCGATCTCCATTTGTTTTGCTCGTCCGTACCCGCCATTCACCTCGCGAAAAAAGGCCACTTCGTCCGACACGGGTATATTAACATGTGTGCCTGTGTGTGAATGTGCACCGTTGACTGATTACCTATGCGTGGTCGTCTGCTGAGTCCACCGTGATTTGCCCTGTCGTGATTTCCATGTGATCGCACCGTCAGTCAGAATCATGGGACTGCTCTCGAAATAGACGACGTCAACCCACATTATTGACAGCAGTTCTGCTCTCTGTTGTCTGGAACTTCACTGTGCTTGTCCGTAACAGACCCGCACATTTCTTGAAGCCACGAACGTGGACGCTTGTGGCTTGCTGTATAATTCTGCTCGAAGTTGTGTGTGCTTTTTCGAAACCAGTTCTTCCGTTTCATGTTCAGGATCGTCAAACATTCGCATGACTTAAAGTTCCATAGTGGGAATCTCAACATTAGTATACTTCTACCTGCACTAACTTACAACACTTTATACCCAACGTTCACCAACTCAAAGAAATTCAACCCGGTGAAGATAAATTAGCACTACTGATTAGCATTGATTTAGTAGCGTGTGAAGAATTCTCAGTCATCGTTCACATTATTCGGTTTTCGAAATTGTACAACGTTCTTTCACACGGTGGTTGTGGGTAATTCCCGCCTTCTGCGGCTTCCACTCGTGTCCTGTAATCAACTGCGAATCTTAATTCTTCAGTGGTCCACCGCTCAGTGTTTCCCATAAGGTTGCTTTCCTCAGTGCATTGGCCCCGGAATCGATGGAGTCAGCAATACGACTAACGAACGCAGCCGAACAGTGACCGGGACGTTTTAGCCACTTCGATATTGAGCCACAAACTTATTGCGTTTACAATTCGAGCAGGTATCCTGAAATGCTTCATGAATGAAGCAGTGTTGTGAAATCTAAACCACATCATTTTGCAACTCGGTTGTTGCGCAATATCTCACAATGTTGCCGTTTTAAACGTTGACCAATCAATGGTAAGCTGTAGGTGGCTAGAGGGTCCGCACAATTACTCTTCATATCACTTTTCTTCCAGTTTTTTTCGGGACAGTAGTAAGTAGTAGTTACTGGAGTGATTCGGACGCCAAGAGTGAATGCTCTTCACTTAAAGCCAGATGGTATAGGTTAGCTCCTGAATCTGACAATACACGTATGTTTGGAGGCTGAAATTACTGGGGGAATTTCATTCGGCACCCCTTTGACAAAGATCACAATCCAGACTGCGTGCAAACTGACTCTGGTGTCAGACTAACACTCTCCTTCAATCACAGCTGGATTTTGAGGCTGCTGAACGGGAATCTGCTATTTGATTTACTGAAATTTATCCACGTAGCACTTTTCCGATTATGCACCATCGAAGATAAGAAACGAATGTCATGAAATCTTATAGGAAGACATCCGCCTGCAATATCTGATGCCAGTTTCCATCACATAATATACTGTACCTTGTTGAAATACATTACAGCTGGAAATCGAAAATCATACTTCTTGTTTGTGTTGAGAACGCTTTGAGATGATAACTAGATGTGTCCACTTGAGCGTTGATATGGAAGTGCTTCGCAATGCAAACAATCACCTCACACAAAACCACTCTAAACCAAATATCTTAAATCAAAGTCTTCAAATAATACACTAAGTGTGGGAAATTTGAAACCCACTGGACAGTCCATAATCGGTTTTCAATTTTTCGAAAGTCATAGGTAGAAGATTTCGCTTAATTTCGTTCAGAATTACATCCAAGCTGAACAAAGAACTGCATGCAATTAGTGAAATCCACTCGTTTATAAAATACGTTGATTTTTCTGGGATCCTCAGCTGAATACGAGGTGATTCTCTCGTAAATTATATTTGTAGCCGAATGTGGCGCTTGTTTTCAGCAAAGCAGACTGCTCCATCCTGATTACAAACCATTGCTAAACTAATAAATTGTCTTCGATAGATACACTTATTTGAAAATCAATTTCGTTATCACAGATGACTCAACTGAAACTATCATTTATGAAATGTGCTGCACAAAGGCCGCCTCGTGTTGGTACGACATTCGAGATATCGGAAAACCGGTCTTGCGCCGTCGGAGAGTTTTCAGCAACCTCGTGAGTATTTTTTTCATGGAAACAAGCTGTCTTCTTCCTCTTCCGTAGACGTATCATGGCACAAGGCTCCTGTCCGTTTGTAAGTATATATGGAAATTTCTCTCAGACTGGTCAGTTGATGTAGAATGATGAATATTGTCGTGCACGGTCAGATATAAAAAGCGACTGTCGCAAACTTTTTTTGATTATTTTATCCAAAATCCTCGTCAACAGCTGGAACAAGACACGTTTCCTGGGAAACCGGTACAGTCTGTACCGTGTCTTCCGCAGACACATCATCCGTGAAATCCACTCTACAGTTGAAAAATTTATTCCAAGTGGACTGAAGTTTTATTTGGAAGCAAAACTGTTGTCGCTTCCGATGCATATCTCCAAAATTTTTACCATTCGTGTTTTAGAAATAGTCTGGTTACTTGAATTGCAGACAACAAGGCTACCTAAAATTACAGAAACTTTTGACTTGTATAAAGCGGAGTTATATGGCAAAGATGTACTCAGGGGACAGGGCGTAAATGAGAGATGTTAACCAAACATAATTAACTGAAATTCATTAAGTTTAATCTTTCATCATGAGATGATGGCGCAAAACCAGTAAGAATGTTATCGAGGATTTATTTCGCTTATCTCAGTTAGCCTCACTCGTTTCCGAACTGTATCGATCGGACTTTCATGCATTTCTGACGATGATTATACGACAAACCAAGTAGCGGTCAGTAGAGAGGGGTCATCAAGCAATAATTGTATTATTGGCTTAGCTGTTGGAGAAAAAGTCACATGCCTTTCTTCTC